GTGTGTGTGTGTGTGTGTGTGTGTGTGTGTGTGTTTGTGTGTGTGTGTGTGTGGTGGTTCTGGTAGTGGGGCATGAAATTATTTTTATAAACCACAGAGGTGGTGGGGGGGGGGCATCAGAAAAGTTTTGGGAACCACTGGATTAAATAATAACTTCAGATTCAACGTGCAAAATTAGCATCCATGCTAACTCTGTAAACAAACAGCTGGCTGAATGAGACATAACGTCTTTTACTGCGCATGCGGGTCACATCAGCGCTGTGTAGTGTTCACACAGGAGTCTGATGCAGGTCACATTTAAAATGTGATGTGAACGTTCACACCAAAAGATCAAAATTGAGCATTAGGACCTGCAGTGTGAACATAGCCTAAGTGAATGGTGCCCAATTAGGGTGTATTACAGCGTATTTGGGTTTGGATTTAAACTGTTATTTAACCAGGCAAACCCCACTGATATAAAAATCTCTTCTTTAGAGAGATCTGGGCCTGTAGACAAACTATATTTCCCAGTTTGATCCATCCGGACTGCTGAAATTGTCTTGCATTGTCGCAGTTGCGTGATGAAAATTGCATCACTTTGTTTGCAGCTTTCAGTCTTCCTCCCATTCTTGTCACAACCTGCTGTGAAATGTTTTCACTCCCCTTATGTGATTGATCAGAATTTCGTGGGTGTGCTTGTTCATGCTGAAAGCACTTGAACACTGCTTTTTGTGTCAACTTCTCGCTTTCAGAATCTGACTGTTGAATCCGGATGCAGACGTATACTGTTTTAAGATAGTCAAATGGTCAAAAACTGATGGATGGAAATAAAACAGACGTTGTGCACAGAGGAATCTGTCTGACAAAAACTGTGGCGCTTTAACCAGAATAACGATAGATATCGGAGTTTCATTCTCTGAAGTGTAAACTCCAGTGGGAAGAAACCCCTTGCAGTGACGTATCCCACAGTGGGAGGGGTTTCCCAGGAGTTCATTGCGGTGTGTCTCAAGGGCTACAAAAGGTGTGTGCAAAAACGAATGTCGAAMCACCACGTGACCATGCGTCATCCAGTCAGTTGCCAATCAATCGACCACTTGGCACTTAAGCATGCAGGTTTTTGGACTGTGAGAGGAATGCATAATACCCAAAGAAAACCCACGCAAACACAAGGACAACAATCAAACACCACACATGAAGACCTGTTAGGTTTTTCATTGGACTCTTGAGRGGAAAAGTTTAATGAGCTAAAACAGAGCAGAAAATATTAATTTTAAAAACTATTGCCTAAATCAGAGGTTCTCAAACTGGGGTCCCCGGCCCCCGAGGGGGCTGCGAGTTGTATCTTGGGGGGTCCTCAAAAAGTTTCAATAAATTGTTAATTTGATTTTATTTTAAAATATGCATATGGGGAACAATACACTAGTTAGGGATGCACGTTATATCGGCACTAATATCGGTATCGGCCGATATTGGCCATTTTTTTAGAATATCGGTATCGGTCCGATATGTAAAACTGGGCTGATATTATCGTCCAATATTTATTTCCCACTTTTTATCTTTGTGTTTCTGTTTTGGGAGGGGAGATGGTTGGTTAAGTGACATCTGTTTAATCATGATAGTGATAATGATGCTGCACAGCCAGTGAAGTAGGGAGCCATGTCAGAGGTCTGGTTGTTTATTTACGGTATCAAAAAAGACCTAAGTGTGTTTGTGACATGCATAATAAAATTTGTGTGTTTGTGTAATATCAGTAAATATCAGTTATCAGCCATAACAGCAATAATTATATTGATGTTGGCTGAAATTTTCCTATCAGTGCATCCCTAACACTAGTAAAACAAACATACTAAACCAAAGAAAAGATAATATTCCCATGGAATTTAGGAGGTAAAATGAGTAGAATAGAATAGGATAAATAGAAATAGAATAGAATAGAAACAACTTTATTTTCCTGCGGCCGGGAAATTCAGAGGTGTAACAGCAGCAGCAGATATACATCAATCCACAAAACAGTATATTGCTATGTGACATTATCAACTGTAGCAATAATAATAGAATTAAAGTAATAATAATAAAAATTTAAAATGGAATAAACAATTAGTGAACAATTTTTAAAACAGCATGGGGTTAATGAGGTGGTCYCTGGAAAAATTTAACCCTTGTAAGGGGTCCCCAGACCCAAAACGGTTGATAACCCCTGGCCTAAATAACTCCTATTGCCGATGGAGCATTTATTTGTCCAATCAATCACCCAAACCTTGTAAGTGTGTGACCATATGTATGTTTACGGTCTGTATATACTATATACTGTCTATGGTCAGTCCATGATTTTGCACAAATACAGTCTTTGATTAGTTGGTACATATACAGCTTATGAATCTCACCCAGTATGTAAGCCGTGTGTGCATGCTCCGTGTCTTGTTTCTTCAGTATTTCTCTGGCTACAGTACAGCTCTACATGCAGGCCTGGCATAGTTACTATAACATCAATTTTTTTTCTCATAAAAACAGTTTTAGAAACCATGTTGTGTTTACAAAGATTTTTGTAGGAATGAGAATGAAAAGACTTTCCAGAATTTCCTGAACTACTTGTTTCTGAGAATATATATGTAAACACATCACCATGTTTTGAAAGGTTCTTCACGTGAGAACATAGAAAACACAATCGAATATGTTGAATTGAATGTGATGCATAGATGGATAGTTTTCCCATCACATGACAAACATGTTCTCATTTCAGCTAACCTTGTCTTTCCTTCCTTTCGTATTTCTGTCAGAGCTTCAGGCAGTTGGACTGAAGAAGGGGATGTTCTTCTATCCTGACCCGTACCTGAAGCTCTCCATTCAGCCTGGAAAACACAGCATCTTCCCCTCGCTGCCGCACCACGGCCAGGAGAAACGCTCTGGAGTGGTGTGCAACACAGTTAACCCTCAGTGGAGCGCAGAGGTACACGCACACACACAAACACACACATCTGACAAACACATAACATCTGAGAGGCCTTCTCTACTCCAAGATGCTTGTTGCATATTGCCACATAATAACTTGTCGAGATCAAGAAGAGTTTTTGCGGTCCAGTCCTAACGGTGTCCCTCTCTTCCTGCAGAGGTTTAACTTCGTGTCTCTACCCACTGACGTCCTGGAGATTGAGGTGAAGGACAAGTTCGCCAAGAGTCGGCCAATCATCAAGCGCTTCCTGGGAAAGCTGTCCGTTCCCGTCCAGAGGCTGCTGGAAAAACACGCCATCGGGTAAAAACACACAGCACACGCTCATCCTGGGGTTTGTTCCCACTCAGACTGCCTCTGTTGCTGAGTCTTTTCTGATAAGATGCCTCCATGTTTGTCTGGGTTCTGAGCTCCGTTTGTTCATTTCCACCGCAGAGATCGGGTTGTGAGCTATACTCTGGGCCGTAAGTTACCAACGGATCACGTCTGTGGACAGCTGCTGTTCTGCTTCGAGCTGACCTCGTCTATCCACCCAGGTAGGTCCGGGGCCGTYCGGCAGCACAAATGGTTTGGATGTGGGTCATGTGACTTGGGCCAGCTCCAGTCCAGTAGAATGTGGACTGAAAGAAGCTCATCTCTGCTGCAGAACACGAATGAAGCTGAGTGTGAATGAGCGGCAAATATTTTTGAATAAGTGTCCAAAACAAGTAAATTTTGTTTTGTCCTCAGACGATGAGGAGGTGTCTCTCGTCATGGAGGTGGCCTGCGCTGAGCAGGGCAACACGGCCGAGGTGAACCATGCTGCTGCTGCCGCTCCTGATGATGATGCTCTGAGTGTGGGCCCTGACATCACCGACCTCCCCGTGGACGCTCCTCCTGAGGCCGGCACTCCCACGCAGCAGGACAGCCCTCCTGCTGAGAGGGAGGAGGAAGAAGCTGTCCAGATGGAGCAGGGAACAGAGGAGGAGGAGGAGCACACAGTGAGGGATGAACCCCCGGCCTCTCAGCCCGAGGAGCAGCCGGAGGGGGCGGTCCTACCTGAGCAGCAGGAGGGAGGAGAGGAGCAGAGAGGAGAGTCAGTTCCACAAACTGAGGAGGAGGAGGAGGCGGTAGGAGAAACAGAGGCTGAGGACAAAGCCCGGCTGGAGTCTGAGCATCCTGCAGCGGCACAGATGACTGAGGACACCGCTGCTGTGAAGGAGAACCCTCCACCCCAGGAGGCTACCGAGGCAGGAGAGCCGAGCTGTGCCCCGTGCTCCTGCCAGGCTCTCTTCACGAACCACAGCTCCCACGCTCCCTCGCGGCGTAAAACCCGCCCGTGCTCCCTCCCGGTGTCGGAGCTGGAGACTGTGATTGCGTCGGCCTGCGGCGAGCCGGAGACGCCGAGGTCCCACTACATCCGGATACACCACCTCCTCCACAGCCTCCCGTCGGCCAGAGCTCCCAGCCAGGAGAAGGAGCCAGAGGAGGAGGGCAGTGCTGTGGACTCCACCGTCACATCACCGACACTCAAATCGTCTAAAGAGGAGGAGTGGGAGCAGAAGGAGGAGGATACAACCCAGTCTCCATCTCAGGTAGGTCCACTGATGGGAAAACAGGAAATACGGCCTCTTTAATAATTTAAACAAGACATATCTTTCTTACAAATCCTTGCTTTTCACATTTAAACCATTCAGACGCAGTGGTGGGCAGCGCTAATTCATTATTTAGTTGCGCAATTTCTAAACCGCTAGTTAAATTAATTTAGGTCCACAAGTTCAAAAGCACATATTATGCTCAAATAAACTTAGCGGAAGCTAAACGTAAAGCTCAAGTTTGTCACCAGTCACCAGAAAACTTTCAGGTATGAGACAAGTCTACACTCTACTGCCACCTAATGAAAAGATCATTTTATTCACAGATTGAAATGTGTCATCGTAGTTTGGGGAGGTGATTAGTCAAAACAGACTTTTGAGTCATGGTGTAAAAATAAAAAAATAGTTGTGGATTGTTAGTTCTGCTGCTTCTTGGTCATGTTCTTATGTTTATGGCAGAGCTTCAGTAAGAAAACATGCAGATATATTAATAATGTTAAACTGTTGTAAAACTGAAGCAATGCATTCTGGGTAGGCTAAAGGACGAAGGACAGGAAACCCATTCTTTTCAAAATAAGAGCATGAATTTCAACTGTTCTGTGTGTCTTTCTTTCTTATTAATATTTATTTAATATTTATTGCCGCGGAGCCCCTCGGAGAGGAGGAACAAACTGCACAGCTGAGTGTGATTCTGCAGATCAGAACTGCAGGTGGATTGTCACCCAGTGAAGAAATTCTAATTGCTTTATTTGATAAACGTCAAGCATTTAACTGTAAAATAAAGACTGTAAAAATACTGTAGGCTGTTTAGTTTTGTAAATTTTTTAAAATATATTTTAACATGGACGGAGCCGTTTTATTTACACACAAAGCATTCTGGGTAAATGATGACGTGGATAGGTCCTCGGTGCGAGGCTGCTAGCGAGCTATATCCACCCTGAAGKTTAATCTTGGACAATATYTGAYRATCGACTCTTTTAAATGAAACCAGAGAGCGTTGACAGAGAGGAGAAGGTAGAAATGACTCAGCCTGTAACTGAAAATATGGATGGAGGACAACAGAGCTGCTTCATGGAAGAAGAACCTCAGCTTAACCTGTTAGCTTTAGCGTTAGCCCCAACGCTATCACCATATACAGTATATGTATTAGCTCAGCGCTAGCACCACAAACAATACAAACAATATAAAGCATCAGGAGCATCTGGTTTACATGCAAAGTCAATGGTGGATGTGCATGTAGGGGCGTCTAGAAGCTGAGCAGCGCGTCTGGCGCATTTGGAGCAGCGCGGTTCGAAGCAGTGCATGTGTCATGAGCATTTTCCATGCATGCGGCACATCCCAAGCATCCGACGCGTGAGTTGGAAAATTTGAACTTTTGCTGCTTGACGTGTCGCATCAACCAATCAGAGAGACTCTGCTCAGTGATGCACTGGTGATGAGCCGGAAATACCAGAATCCCGGGAAATCGGATCACACAAACAATGGAGGAAAGACTGATAGTCTGATCATTTATGATCATTCCTGTGTCCGTTATCGTGATGGAAATAAAAGGGACTTTACCTGGAGGACGATTAGTGAGGAAGTCTACATGTTTGATAAGTTATCGAAACTACGGTTAAAAAGGCTCCTCYGCTGGAGTGTCTAAAGAAGCGCGTTTACATTCACATCAAATGTGTCTGTCCTCAGGACACCAGCTTCAAGATGCTTGTGTTTTGAGATTTTTGGAGGCACGCCACGTGTTTGGTATAAACCAGGGGTGCCCAACCAGTCGCCCGCGAGTCCGTGTAATATATTTTTAAACTTTTAGTTTAAAAATTATAAAAACTAAACAGCCTACATTATTTCTATAGTCTTTATTTTACAGTTAAAATATATTTTTATCAAATAAAGTCTAATGTTACAACTAATCATGGATGCCTTTAAAGAAATTAGTAAAACCACTAAAGCACAAAGGATAAATTTAGGTCCACAAATAGCGCATTTGCACTTTAGGGGTCTAGTGCTCACCACTGTTCAGTTGAGGTCTTTATAAAGTGGATCGGCAATGCTTTGGTTTAATTTCCTCCTCACTCAGGAAGTACGTGGAGCACACAGAGAGCTGAAGTCTTGGATGAGCATCATACCTGTTTGTGTCCTTGCAGGTCACAGAGTGTCCTGGCCCCTGCTGCCGGCGCTCTCTGCCCCGCAGCCTCTCCATTGAGCATCTCTCCGAGCTCAACCAGCTCCTGGAAGGCGACAGAGGAAGAGGAGGTCTGGCAGAGGTGAGGAGGATCTCCCCCTCGTGCCTGGAGAGCGAGGAGGGGGACTCCAGTCACGCAGGAGGCAGGAGAGTCTGCGGCAGCACCCACAGGCCTCCAGGGGAGCACGAGTGTGAGTTCTGCGACACCTCCTGCTACAGCACCTCCTGCTACAGCACCTCTTGCTACAGCACGTCGTGCTACAGCAACTCAGGCTACGAGGGGCGGGGCCGCTTCTGCAGCCACACCCGCCTCTCCTCGGTGGACAGCAACCGGCTCTCCGGCAGCACCGTGTTCTCCTCCCAGGACGAAGACGAGGACGAGGAGAGCGCCTTTGAGTCGGTGCCTGACGCCATCCAGCCCGAGGGTCCGGACAGAGGTGGGGCAGGAGGGGAGAGGAGCACGGGCAGGTGGAAGGAGGCCAGGAGAGGAGAGCAGGGGGAGCCAGTTGTACCTGGGCCCAGTGACAAAAACAGCATCGGTGAGATTAAACAGCATCTTCCTCCTGTTGGTCGTCTCAGGCTCGCTGTGGTAAAACATCACCTCCCATGCCTCTACAGAGAGCTTCGAGGTTTAACAAGTGAGAAATTTAAACAGTATGGGCCAAAGAAAGTTTACACACTTTAATGCATCAGCCATGTTAAACCAGGAACTCTACACTTTCACCTGAGAGAAAAAAGCTGGCCATTCTACAGAACTGGCATTTATCGTAACATTTTAAAAAAACAAGCTATACACAGTAGCAGCTGTTCCTGTAATACAGTATATTTAAGGACCACAGTCATGAAGCGAGTTTAAAATATTGGCTTTTTATGTGAGATTGAGAGCAACATAAAAAAGCCCACAGGGACAAAGACCTTACATTTTAAAGGCACAAATTGTAGTTTGATGTAAATGAAGTTTGTTTGGTTATAATGACTATTATTGCATTTGGAGGGAAAAGGAAGGAATTTGCAAGCCTGAGAACACCACACTGTAACAAATAGGATCTAAAATAAGTTTTAAAATACTAGATTATAGTCTGAATCTTCCCAATTTACTGTAAGTGAATCTACCAGTGCAGTACGGCAATTGCTAAGAATTTGTGACATAAGGACATTTTTCCAGGCTAAATGGATTCATATTCTAATTCTACTCTTGCTTACTGTATCAGTCTCAAAATAAGATCAAAAATACTTTTTTGGCTGATATAAGATTGTGAGACTTGGTTAGATGGACAGGTTTTTGCAGTGCATCTCAACTGTGAAGCATGGGGTGACAGCATCGTGATGTGGAGGGGCTTTGCTGCAAATCACAACATAGATGACATCGTCAGGAAGGAACACAATGTGAAAACACTGAAGCGTTTCAAGACATCAGCTGGGAGTGAGTGTTTTTCTAATGAACTTTAGCATACTGCCAAATTAGTTAGTATGTCTTAAGGCACAAAACTTGAGGGGAAAATAGTTAGTTTTTTTCATATACGGTGAATGTAAACATTTGATTTAACTGGGGTGTGGCAGGTGAGATGTATTTGCACAGGTTGTGTAAGGACATGTTCTGGTTCTTTCAGGTTGTAGATGGTTTTCTCTGGTGCTGGGAGAGTACCTGCTCTGTGAAGAAAGGGTTTAAAAAATGAGGTTTGAACCTCCTGCAGTTTGTAAAGGTGGTCTGTGAAGTGTTTTTAGGGGTGACTGCTGACTGAAATCAGCTAAAGTTTTGTTGTTAACGCCAGCTATACTTCAGCTTTGAGGCTTTAACCATCCACAGTGACGTTTCTACACCATTAGCTCATATTTAAGCTCCTCTAAGTTGTGGGAGTCATCGGATCATGTACCATATTAGCATAAATGCTGTGTGTTTCTATTTTTTCTTCACATCACGCAATGAAGCAGAAATATCACTGTTAAAGCTAATAACAGGCTAATGGTTTCAGTCACCATTAAGTGTGAGATTTACTGTAAAACAAATTAGATATTTGTTCTGCATAAGACAGATGTACCATTGTGCTGCAGGTATGTTCTGCTCCATTGTTTCCTCTTCATCTGCTCCATCTCTAATATCATCATTCATTTGCTGATGCAAACACACCCAGCCAGTACAGCAAGTCTGAGCAATTTGCTCTCTTTTTCTGTTAGATTCCAGCTTTCCTTGATGCACAGTCTACTGTAAACATGACCTTTTAGCCAGGCACATTCCTGCCAGATACCCTCTCTGACGCAACCTGGGCTTGTACCCGCAGCCTCATATATGTATGTATGTGTTTGTGCGTGTGTATGCATCTATTGTTACATGCATAAGAAGAGGGGGAAGAAAACCACAATGCTGAAGGAGGCGTCTTACAGACCATTCTGTCTGACACTTCGATGCATAAAGAGTAGGATCAGTGTCCTCTGCATCAACTCCTTCAACAGAGGCTCACTTTGGTGATGATCTGAGTATCTTCTAACACCACGAAGCACCGGGTGACAAAACAAAACTGATAATAAAGTGGATTAAATATCATTTTGGATCCAAGCAGAAAACAATCCCTAAATTTCAGTCTATGTGGATGTTGTTACAATCCTTAATAAATAAATCTTTTATATTCTGTGATTCATAGTCTCTCTCCAGTCTCATAGCTGCTGTAGAATATCCCAGCCTTACCATCTCTCTGATGTCCTGTAGGCCCAGACTTCTCCCCTCCTGTCGGCCATGTTCCAGTTCTGCGACCCAGCCATGACCCAAATCATTTTCCTGCTGCCACTGACCAAGCCTTACCTCCAAGTAAGAACCCACAGTTCCCAGTCTTACTCTGGAGTCTCATCCAAAGAAGTGGTTCTGTACTTGTGGCTGTGTGTGCATGCTGCCCTGTTGGTCCGCTTTTCACACACATCTCATCTCCTCTCCTTTGTCGCTTCCACTGTCCGCATTTCTCTGCCTTCTGCCAGTTACTTTCTAAAAAAAAAAACGTCAGCACCCCTATTTTGTTTTGATTTAAACCCAACAGAGTTGACTCTAAGACCTAGTTCAGACTGAATGATAACCTTCAAAAAATCATCCAGAACGTGAATGTTTTTATTTTTTTCAGGATTTTGCATGTTTTTTAACTAAGTGTGTATTAAGAATGCAGTGGTGTCTCCATTACATGTAGTGTAGGTTGTGGACGGTTTTGACAAAACTTCAATACCAAGATTGTGGTGGTTTGCCATCAGCGTGGCAKTGTATTAAAGTTCTGGTTGGTGGCAGCAATGGCCCTGTATCCACAGCATGTGGCCCACTCACAGTAAGTTGTTGCAAAGCTCTTGGCAGTGCGTCCCTTTGCTGCTTTTGCATCATGCTGTCACCACACAGCTGCAATGACCAACTAAAGTGTGCTAATTAATCCTGCTCCGCACTCATTCATCCCTAATTCACCTTTAAACCAGCACCTGGCCTCACCGTGGTCAGGCCTGCTGGCTGAGGATCTTCTCATGCTGGTGATGGTTTCTCCTTCTCCACAGTGAGTCTGAAACTGTTGCTATATTGTATATATTCTGCAAATTGTCAACAGGTCATAGCAGATGTGAAAATCGTGGCAGAAGCATCTACGACGTGATGCGATTTATTGGCGTAGCAGCATTTTTTTTGGAACTGGGTTTCAAATAACACTCCTATTTCTAAAATGACCAGTTTCTTTGTCTTAATGTGAACGTGAAGTTGTGGATCCTGGGGCTCAGAGGGAATAATGAATGCCAGCAGCTGGGAAGCATACTAATGATTGTTTTTGTGCAGTTCATCTCCAGGGTTAATGATGCAGGACGTCTTGACGAACACATGACTGAGGCTGACCGTGCTGTGGTTTCTCATTCTCAGACTGGGAAGCCCGCGTCGACAGCCACGGCCGGGTTTTCTACGTGGATCACGTGAACAGGACCACCACCTGGCAGAGGCCGAGCCACAGTGGAAAGTGTAACCATGGGATGTCCCGCTCCGGCTCCACTCAGCAGATGGAGCAGCTCAACCGAAGGTCCGACTCTGAAGAAACCCGGAACACTTTATGTGACAAGAAATCAATTTGTTTACTTTGGATTTTGTCCTAAAAAAAATCTGAAATCTGATAGTTTAATAACCGACAGAAAATTTATTTATCGTTCAAAAATGCAATTTAGTATATTTGAGTTATTCATTCATTTATTTATCCATTCATAAATAATCATATTTAGAATTACTCGTTTCTTTCTGTATTATAATCTTAGTTGAAAACCAAAAGGCAGATTATGTTTTAGCCTGTGTGTTGGAGCTTATTTAACTGTTAGCAAAATATCACATAAACTACTGAACAGACTTTAATGAAGGTCTCAGATAGTAATCACCAGATTCGACTCAAGATGGCTGCCAGAGCCAGTTGTGGTTAAGAAACATGGAAATTATTATAACTCAGACAACTTTAGAGATATTTAGCTAAAAATTGATGTGGTGATTGTTGATAATCTTGGCTTCATACTCTTTGTTGTTGGGTTTTGGACTCTAAAATATCATTAAACTGATCTGGTGTCTGGGAGGAGAACTCAAACCTTCAGCTCTGCCTGTAAATCTCATAGTTTGAACTGACGTTTGGTCCACTGCAACACAAAGCTTATTAACTGTACTCAGACCACTGTCACCACTGAAAACACTGAGTCTTAATGTCACCTGTAACAGTCATGGTGCTGTTCATCCTGCAGGTACCAGAACATCCAGAGGACCATGGCAACAGAGGAGGATGCTGGGAGTCAGAGATCAGACAGCGACTCTGAGCCTGCTCAGACAAGTATGGCACAGGCTCTCCTTATAACACCACATTTTATCATACATGCAGCGTGTTGAGGGTCTGGTTTAAAGTTTCCCAATGTGTTTTTTTTTTCACTCACGAGCAGTTCGGTTGTTAGATAAAATGCTGTGAAATGTGTCAAAATCTTCAGCTTTATCAGACATAGAATATGCTCCTGCATAAAATAAACAGCACTTCACCATCTCCATCTTCTGTCGCTGTTCCGYAGTCGGGTTGTGAAGGCAACAGGTCCAGGAGAGAAACCCAGACATAGCCCATGCCCCCCCACCCCCCACCCCCAGTGACACTTTCCAGCTTGTCCTGGTCGAGGTGTTCCCAGACCAGAGAGGATGTGTAATCCCTCCAGTGAGTCTTGGGTCTTACCTGTGCCCGGAACACCTCTAAAGTAAGACGCCCAGGAGGCATCCTAACCAGATGAACCACCTCAAATGACTCCTTTCGATGCAGAGGAGCAGAGGCTCAGAGCTCCCCCCAGATGACAGAACTCCTCACCCTATCTCTAAGGTTGAGCCCATCCACCCCACAAATGCAGCTCGTTTTTGGCCACTTGTATCCAGGATCTTGTTCTATCGGTCATGATCTACACAYTTCATGACCACAGGTGAGGGTTGGAACATGAACAAATTGAGATCTTTGTTTTCGACTCGACACTTTCTTCACGACTGACCGATGCAACACCCTGATTACTGAGGATGAGGCTCCAGTCCGATGATCCAGCTGCTGCTGTGTCCTACCATCACTTGTGAACAAGACCTTTACTTTAACTCCTCCACTGAGGCAGAGACTATTCCCTGACCCATARGGGTCAWTCCACCCTGTTCYGGTCGAGAACCATGGCCTCAGACTTAGAGGAACTGACTCTCACCCCAGCCACCGCACACTCCAGATCTATGAAACACATGTAGACTGGGAGAGGCACTTCACCAGAAATATGTAGAGTCAGATCATCATTTTCTGATGAAATGGGTTTGTGTAATATTGTTCAGAAACATGTTGGCTAGTATCTACTATAGTGACAATCATCATTGATCAGTACTGTCCAGGCCTTATTTAACTAAAGGCAGTCTGTTGATTTATCTACCATTCTTTGTTTCTCCAGGTCCTGCCTCTCCTGTCAATCACCAGAAGGTCACCAACCTCCTCCAGTCACCGGCTGTCAAGTTCATCACACACCCCGAATTCTTTACTGTGTTGCACAGCAACTATGTGAGTGCTGCTCATAACAACACATAAATACAGTTTATGTGGGAAGGAAAGACTCCAGCTGTTTTTGAATATTTCACTCAATCACTCACTTCATCATGGTCACTAGATAGTCAGCTACTTTATATAGGAGATAAAGGACAGGCAGTAAATCACACAGAGCGGTGCTTCATATTTAAATCCATATATGGTTTGTTTTTTTTGTTTTTCGATGTCATAATAAAATGAGAAATAATCTGGTGGGTTTTTAGTTGTTTTTTTTTGTTTTGAAACTACATTAGAAAAACGACAAAACTACATAGGACAGTAAGTTGCAGTCAGGTGCTGCTAATCAAAAGAAATCATTAGAGTCACATGACACATAGTCTAAAAATACCACAGTAATTCTTTCACACTTTCTCTCCACAGGCAGCCTACCGTATGTTCACCAGCAGCAGCTGTGTGAAGCACATGATACTGAAGGTACGACGTGACGCCAGAAACTTTGAGCGCTACCAACACAACAGGGACCTGGTGGTCTTCCTCAACAAGTTTGTAGACACACAGCTGGAGTTGCCCAGAGGCTGGGAAATCAAAACAGACCCTCAGGGAAAGGTAGGTACCTCAGAACTCTCAACCATAGCGAAGAAAAAAACAACAACAACAGAAATTCACTATAAGCAGCAGAAATATGTTATTTAAATAAAAAATTTGCAACCAGTCATGTTCAGTTTTTTTTTGGTTGTCTTTATCTTCAGTCGTTTTTTGTGGATCACAACAGCCGAGCCACAACCTTCATCGATCCCCGAATCCCTCTGCAGAACGGCCGGCTGCCGGGCCACCTGGCCCACAAACAGCACCTGCAGAGACTGCGCAGCTACAGCGCCGGCGAGGTACTCTCCGTCACCTTTACTGCCAATCACTGCTCAGTAATGAGGGCCCTGCCCTGCGAACTCCTGCTACTTCAACAGCTGTCTGTCAGTCGACATCATGTCTTGCTTTCATCCTCAGGCCTCGGAAGTGTCCCGGAGTTGGGGGGCTTCTCTGATGGGCCGTCCCGGAAACAGCCTGGTGGCAGCCATACGGAGCCAGCATCACACTGACCCACAACAACTGACCACTCTGTGTAGGCATCGACATGACGTTTAACTACTGATCACATCCACAGCAGGATTCTAAAAAAACTCTCTTTACCTCTTAAAGCCTACAATGACAAGATCGTAGGATTTCTGCGGCAGCCCAACATCTTCGATATGTTGCAGGAGAGACAACCCAGCCTGAGCAGAAACCACACACTGAGGTAAACCCTCTCTTTAACAACCTGAACTATAAACACAAAGACAAAAATGTCATTTCCCTTTCAGTTTTGGCAGCCAGCACTAAAAAACTGAGCTTAACTGTTTCTATATGTGTAAATTAATTTGAAAAATGTGTTTTAGCTCCTGTTTAATAGTTCAGATCAAGGTTCTTTCTGATCTGACTAAAGGTTTTTTAAACTGATTTGAATCAAACATAATCTATTAGCACACAATGACAGTATGTCCTTTTTTCATCCTTGTTCAGAGAAAAGATCCACTACATCCGGACCGAAGGGAATCAGGGGGTGGAGAAGCTGTCGTGTGATGCAGACCTGGTCATCCTGTTGAGGTGCACTGGCTTTATTACAGGGGGCACATTTTATATGCTGGGGAAATTCACCATCTGATAGCTCATCATGAACTGTGCTGATGTGAGAGGCCAGGCTCTAAAGCTAGGAACAAATATTTAGTTTCTAAAGGGACCAAAGTGGTTTTCAGGAGCAGCTCAAATAGATGCTGAGCCTCAAACACAAAACAGACTTGTTGACGATCAAAAGAGTACAACCAACCACAATCAGTTCATTTCTTGTAGCTGACCAAATGATCTTTGACTCCGACTGTTGATATCCCTTCCATCTCTTTTTTAGTATTTTTTCTGTGAACTTTCACATTATGTTTGTTGAGAATGAACCATTGGCCCTTTTCCACTAGTGCCTCTACAGCACGGTTCAACTTGGCTCTAGCAAGGATTTGTGGAACCAGACCCTTTTTCTGAACTCACTTGGCTGTGATTCCAAGTGTACCATGCTGACCTGAAAACATGATGTCAGAAGACTGTTGGTCACTGATTGGTTAGGAGGTGGAGTCACTGGTTGCATCACAAGAGCTACTCTCACAACAACCCGATCCACTGTTTGCAACAACAACACTACCATGTTGTTGTGTTGGGTATCTTTTCAGGATCTTCTTTTACTATCTTTATTGGTGGCAAATAGCTTAAAGGAGACCAATTATGGGTCCTAGAAATTTTCATGGTATGTCTGTGGGCTGTCCAGACCATGTTCATTCAATTTAATGCWCAAAATAATTCTCAGATAATAAAATTTCCCATTTTCTAGTTCTGCCTGCTCTGACTTCTGTTCAGAAGAGCTGTTTATGTTAATGAGCTCTGTTGGTAACGCCCTCCAAAAATCTGTTGACATTAACTCCGCCCTCCAAAGCCAGCATTTACGTTAGCATGGCTATTAATAGCAGAAGCTCTGTTGTACAACCATATGAGACCCAGAGGCAGAGTCGTGGTCCCAGCTTATTTTTTTTCTCCCTCCTCTGCTCTGCGCTCACTCTGCATGCTGTTACCAGAGCAGGGAGCAGGAGCGGTCAAAATACCTCAGAAACTCGAACAAATAGGCTTTAACAAGGCTTTAATAAGCTAAACAATAGAGGTACATGAGAAAATTTGTTCATAACGAATGAAAATAAATAAATGTTCATGCCAGTCTCGAACCCTGGTCTCCCGCTCTCTGGCCCAACACTCTACCCATTGCCCTAACGGAGGCTTGTTTTGAACTGAGCTGCACATTGCACAACAACACGGTGACGGCTTTTTATATTGAGGAGGTGGAGCCTCACCCGGGGGTTGCTAGGTAAGGGGCTGAACGCAGGATCCGGTGGGTTGTCGTACAGCTTGTGACATCACAAAATAATGGAAGTATAAAACTTGTCGTTAATATACATTAAAAATACATTTACTTACAGTAAATATGCCCCTGGATGCATTTTTTTGGTCCTAGGACTATTTTTKTAAGAAGTACATACCCAAAGTTGAGTAAAAAACCTTTAAAAAGTGAATTTTGCATAATAGGTCCCCTTTAACGTAGCATAACCTCCACCAGCTGGTAAGGTGTGTGGCGTCAATTTTCAGACTCTGGGATCGCTCAACTTTACAATGAACTAGAGCTGTTACTGAAGTGTAATGGAAAACTACCTGAACCGTGCTGATCAGAGCTCAGCCAAGTCGAGCCGTGCTGTAGAGGCTCTAGTGGGAAAGGGCCATTAGTTACAGGTAGTTTTGAGTGGGAACTGTGATTCAACAACCCCTAAGATGAGTACAAGACCAAAGGACAGCAGTACGTGGCCTAGATTAGGCCTCACCCTGGAGCTGGGACTGGGGCGGTGGTTTGTCCAGGGCTTGACCCATTGACTGCAGCCTGACACATCCCAAATGAACTATATAGAACTAACCAATAGCTGCAGGGTGTGCCATAAAGTCTTGCTGCACTGGGGATTGGGCAGCAAGAAAACAAATGTCGCCACTGTCACGGATTTATAAACTAAACTTTACAAACTGAAATTTGAGTCCTTACCCTTCATTACCCTGACGTCTGTGAGGTGTGAGCAAGATCGACCCAGGGTGCAGGCAAAAGTCCAGAGTGCAAAAGCTTTATTAAACAAAGGTACTCACAAAAATAATCTCTCAGGAGAGCAAGAACACAAGGCACATGGGAGAACACCACACTGGCTGGAGTAGACAGCACAATGATCAGACTGACTGAGGACAGGACAGAGACTGTAAAGACAAGCAAACGATGGACTGATTGGAAACAGCTGGGGAGGAAACACAGAGGCAGATATACACAGGGAAACACAGAAACACTAGAAAAGCCAAGGTAAAAAATAAACAAACCATGACAACACCTGCCAATCACAATGTAACTTCTGACTTTACACACCACAGAAAATAACATCTGTGCTGTGTGGCCTCTGTTTTTATTTTTTATTTTTTAGTTTATTTGAGGAGGATATCATGTCCTACATTCCTCCTCACCCCATTCACCCTGGCTTCAGCTTCTCCCCTCGCTGCTCACCTGTCTCCTCCCCACAGAACTCTCCGGGTATGTATTCATTTTGTATCGTTTTTATGATTTAATCCTCCAACTTTCTCAGTCAGTAGAAGGAACAAACACACACAGCCAAGCAGGAGTTAGTAATCCTTATTGTTTCTCTGTTTCATCTGTTCTTTGCTGCATGAGTGTGCAGCACAGGAATGTACTGTATGTGTTAGAATACTCTTACATGAAAAAAAATACTATGTATATGTACAAAATACTATCAAAAATAGCATCACTGTTTGGCTGCTCTGTTTTCATTAAGAACTCTGGTGAACCTCAAACATGCCACAAATGTGTGTGTGTGTGTGTGTGTGTGTGTGTGTGTGTGTGTGTGTGTGTGTGTGTGTGTGTGTGTGTGTGTGTGTGT